TAATTTAGTCAAGAAGATTACTAGAAATCCAAGTGGAACTAAAAGTAGGAGAAACAACTGAGGCAATTAGTATTTACAGGATCATGGAAGCTGCAGAAGTAGATAATCTCAATTAGAGTAAGGTACTGTGTAGATGGAAAAGTGAAACGCTTTCCAGGATTAATCACTGGGACAGAACAGTCGTCAGAATTTAGAAAGATGAAGCAGAACTAATGAGAGAGAATAAGTAAGAAAAAAAGAAAGAAAGCCATCAAAAAACACAATACAATAAAGTATTTCAAGAAGGAAAGAATGTTCAACTGAAATATTCACAGGCCAAATAAGATAAGGACTGAGAAATAATCACAGGACAGATTATGAAGGCCACTGGTGATAAAGACATGAGCCATCTTAAAGGGCATGTAAGAATGAAAGCCAGGTTGGAATAGGAGTAGATTTAGGAGTAAACGAGAGTCCAGTAATACAAGGTTGGTTTAAAATCTGAAAAATAATCAATGTAATTCACTAAACTAAGAAAAATGAAGAGAAATCATAATCATCTCAAATACTGCAGAAAAGGTGTTTGATAAAATCCTGTTTATAATCAAGAAAACTCTTAGCAAACTAGAAATAGGTAATTCCTTAATTTAACTAAAAAATCTACAAAACGTAATCTATTAAAAATATCATACTTACTGGCTAATTATTAAAAGCATTGCCCATGAGATCAGGAATAAGACAGGGATGGCCACTATGACAACTTTTATTCAACACTGTGCTGGCAGTTTTTAGGTGGCTAACAAGGGAAGGAAAAAAATAAAAAACTAAACATTAGAAAGAAAAAAACAAAAGTAATCATTCTCCAATGTTGTTATTGTCTACAAAAATTTTTCTGAAAAAATCTACAAATGACTAGATTTAATAGAGGAATAGAAAGACTGGTATATAAAAGTTCAATGTAAACATCAATTATAATTCTATGTACCACTAACAAATTAAAAATCAAAAATTTTAATTGCTTCCTGGCCTTTTGGGTAAGATCAAGTGTAAAAAATTAAAATTTTAAGGGCATCAAATAATATTAAGTATCTGGAAATAAATCCATCAAAAAGACAGAAACTGTTCCATAGAGAAAAGTACAAAAGAAAATCTCAATTAATAAAAGAACATATCAAGTATATGACCTGAAAGATTCAATATAGGAAAGATGTCAATATAATACAATAAAAATCCTCATGTTTTTTGGTGGAAGTTAGTAAGCTGATATATACGGAAATGCAAAGACCCCAAAACAGTCAAGGCAGTCTTCAAGAACAACAGTAAAGCTAGATGACATACTCTTAAATATCAGGCCATACTAAAAAGCTATACAAATTAAAATACTGTTGTACTGTCTGAAACACACCAAAAATTCACAGTCATACATGGTCATCTGATTTATGGCAAAGATTAGACTGCAATGAGATAGGAAATCATCTTTTCAAAACATGGTACTGGGCCAGCTAGATGATATACATGGGGGAAAAAAAGAACCTTGACCTTTATACCTCATACCATATATAAAATTCAATTCCAGATAGATTATAGATCTAAATATGAAAGATAAAACAAAATTTTGAGAAGAAAACAGAATAATCTTATGGCTTCGGGATATGGGTCTAACTGGTCATAAAAGAAACTGAAAATGTAACCTATACTAAAACTAGTAACTTCTGTTTTCAAAAATCACCATTAAGAGAGTGAAAAGGCAAGCCAAAGAAGAAGAGATAATTTGCAGTGTATATCCAATGAAGTGATTACATCCAAAATATATGTATGATTTCCACAAATCAGTAACAAAATGACACACAACCCAAATGAAAACTGTCACTCTGAAGCAGTATTTAACAAAAGAAGATATCCAAAAGTAAAATAAATATACGCTCAACTTTATTGTCATCAGGGAAATGCAAATTAATGTGATCCAAAGAATGGAGGAATATATTTGCTAAACATCCATCTATTAAAAAAACTCCTATAAATCAATAATAAAAAGGTACATATCACAATCATTAAATGAGCAAAAGAGCTAAAGGTATTTCTTCAAAGAACATATATCAATAAATAGCTAATAAGCACATGAAAATAGACAACAAGCATATGGAAAGATATTCAGCACCACTATTCATTCCAAAAATGCAAATTTAAAATTGATAAGCCATTTCACACCCAGTAGGAGGGCCAGAATCAAAAAGAGACATACAAAACAAGAGTTGGTAAGGATGTGGAAAAATTGGAACTCTTAAATATGGTTGGTAGGATGTAAAATGATGAAGTCACTTTGAAAAACATCAGTAGTTTATCAAATAGTTAAACATAGGACCCAGCAAATTAACTGCTAGGTATCTACTGAACAGAAACAAAAACATATGTCCACATATAACCCAGTACATGAACATTCATGGCAGCTTTATTCATAGAGCCAAAAGATAGAAACAACACAAATGTGTATCAACTGATGAATGGAGAAGCAAAATGTATACATACATCTAATGGAATATTATTTAGCTATAAAAAAGAATGAAGTTGTAAAATATGCTATAACATGGATACACACTGAAAACATTATGCTAAGCAAAATGGACCAAATACAAAAAGACAAATATTGTATGATCCCACTTCCGTGAAATATTTAGAATAAGCAATTCATAAAGCCAAAAAATGAATTATGGGTTGACTCAGGGTGGGAATCATGATGACAGAGGGAAAATCGGTAAAGGAAATGAATACCAAAGAAGATAAAAGATTAATTTTCTATAATTATATATGAAAATGTCTAATTTTATTCAAAATCTAGGAAAACTGCAAATTAAAACCACAATGAAAGAGTATTTTGCATCCACTAAATTGACATTATAAGATTTGAAATATTAACATACATTTTTACTTGAAGGCTTTTACAAATATTTCTAACTATAAGCTAAGTTTTCAGTAAAAGAATGTTTACTTTATAATTTTCTGATACATTCTCAGTAAACAAACGAAAGCATATTTAAAGGGGTAAGTCTTCACAGAAATCCTGTCACACACAGTAATCTTACAAAGGCATTTCATATGTTATCAAAATCATGTTAAATGTAGCTTATCATACATCTTCTAAACAATTATTATAAACTAGATATAGAAAAAGAGTATTCTATCATTTAAAAAAATAAGTCAAAGAGCCTTAAGTTCTTAGTAACGTTACGGAAAAAATCATCTCAATAAAGAAATGCTGCCAGTGATCAATCTACTTAACAATCTACCACTCTTCAATCATTAATCCTTAAAGAAAGGTCAACACTTGTTTTAAAGAAAAGACATGTTATACACAAAATATGTATAAAGACATGTAATATATAAAATATAGCATATTTTAGAACTTGATTCTTTTTGTGACTAAATAATATTCAATTGCATGTATATACCACATTTTGTTTATCCATTAATCAACTGATAACATTTCAAATGCAAAACAATTGGAGGTAAAATTAAAACTACTTCAAAATATCTTCTCAATTTTTTTCCAAAGGAAATATATTTATCCCTTAGTTAAGATCTCACTTCTATTACTTCTCAAATAGTTTCATTTTCAGAGCAGCTGAATATTATGGAGTTAACTAACAGATAAGAAGAGGTCTGAGAGTGCTAATAAAGGGCATAGGTATTTGTTATAAAAAAATTTATTCATGAAATCCCACTTTAACTTTTAAAGGAAATCACATGATACAATTAAACTCTTGTGAGATCATAATCAGAAATTCAGCACTCATTATCATAAAAGCACAGCTGTGACTAAAGCAAAAGAGGTCATAAAACATAAATGACACAAAATAAGAAAAAGTAAACCCATCTAATTTTTATTGTTTATATTATGTATAGATCAGAAAAAAACTACTTTAAATAATATGTAATAAGAGCAGGGAAAAAGAACACAAAATAATGTTTCTATTACTACAAAATAAAAATTTTGACCGCATAATTAAAAAATAACACAAAACCTAACAGGTAAATCCATTTATACTAAATATAAATTAAGATTTTTATCTTAATACAAAAGACTTTCAAGAAACAGTCTAAGGTCAGACGCAGTGGTTCATGCCTGTAATCCCAGCACTTTGCGAGGCCAAGGCGGGCAGATCACTTGAGGCCAGGAGTTCAAGATCAGCCTGGCCAACATGGGGAAACCCTGTCTCTACTAAAAATACAAAACTTTAGCCAGGCATGGTGGTGCGCGCCTGTGATCCCAGATACTCAGGAGGCTGAGGCAGGAGAATCGCTTAATCAAACTCAGAAGGAGGAAGTTGCAGTGAGTCAAGATCGTGCCACTGCACTCCAGTGTGGGAGCCAGAGTGAGACACCGTCTCAAAAATAAAAATAAAAAATGAAAATAATCTAAGTGAAAAGAAAGCAAAGAAACAACTACAGTACTCCCTCCTTATCCCGAGGCGATAGTTCCAAGACCCCTAGTGGATGATGTACACGATTTTCGGTCTGAGAACTGACATAGCTACTAAATGACTAATAGGGAGACAGTGTATACAGCATGAAAAAGCTGAACAAAAGGAAGATTCATGTCCAGGGCTTGTTAAAGAGGGCCAGCATGAGATTTCATCACTCTACTCAGAACAGCACACAATTTAAAAGTTATAAATTGTTTATTCCATTTGATATTTTTGAACCACAGTTGACCATGGGTAAGTGACACCTTAGAAAGCGAGAGTAGAAATAAGGGTGTACTACTATAGAAAACCTTAAGAGAAATGATACTTATTGCTTGAATATAGATGTAAATTTTTTCTTTACTTTTTTTAATTTAAATTTTCTTAAATACACTTCCGATACCCAGTTAATTCCATGTCTACACTGAAATCTCAGACGTTTGGGAATTAGCAAATAGTATAAGTCAATGGAAAGTGAAATTATAGAAAAAATGTAATTAGTGGTTGTCAGCTGTCCAACTGTGAAGCTACACAATAAAACCATCAACACATACCACTTACCTTTTCAAGTAAGTAGCCAATGACTAAAAAGCCTTTTCCACCCAGCATCTGTTCTTGCATGGCTACTGAACTTTTAAGTAGTTCAACCAGGAATGCCAAAAGAGTAGCACTGCATGTAAAGTACAGACATCATTATGTAATCATCACATGTTTATTATAAATACAGCATTCCATTTCAGTATTTTATTATGCCAAAAGATAATAACCATATTCAAATCTAATTTCTATTTTACTGACAATGACTATTATGCCTTATATATGAAAGAATATATTTCCTCATAAGCATGAGAAAACTAGTGTTGTTCTTTACAAATTAAATATAATAAATTGAATCATAACTGTGTAGATTAAACATCAAAGTTTATCTCTACATATATTTCTATGTCTGGCTTCAAGTAAACCTAAGAAACATACACATATCATTTTCCATAATAAAGACTATTCTTTTGAATAACAAGCTATTGTAGAAAATTTTAAATGTATATTTAAAATTTTAAATATAGATGCAATATTGCTTTGTAAGAACAAGTCCTATTTTTAAATAAACTTTTCATTTAGAACTATTCTTCAAAAACACTTGACTAAAAAAAATCCAGAGAAATATGTAACATGTCACTTATGTCCAGGTATGCCCTAAGAAAAGCTCATGAGAGCAAATAAATTATTTATATAATATTGAAATGAAAAGTGACAATTATGCAATACATAAACAAATACATAAAAGCAGATGAAGAGGTGTCAGACAAAGATTAAGCACTTGATTTGTCTTTGGAATGAATGAAGAAATAAAACAAAAAGAAATGATTGCATTGAATTAAGCTTTGATAATGCATTACTTCACAGTTACATATAATGATTTTAACCAGCAACACTGATACATGAATATAGTATTCTGAATAATGGAAATACATATTCCTTCATTGTATATGCTTAATGTAGCTCATAATAAATTGTTATATACCAGATTTTATCAAGAATTAAAATAGTATCAATTACAATGTTTTATAATATACCCTAAATTACCTATTTATATTCATAAGGGTAAAACCACACATTTCTAAACATATTTTAAATGCAGGAAGTACTCATTTTTACAAGTGATTCAGACAATTTGGTAATAAGGAAAACTTGAAAATTATTAAAGCCCAAAAGGAATCTGAAGTTATTCTAATTTTTGAATTATTCTAGCTCTTCCAGTTTCAATAGGGATAATACATTTTTCTCCTAATGTGGCTACTTTTGTTCAAATTAGAAATGTTCTCATAACAAGAACCAACAGCAAAATTACCATTATCATTATTATAAAAATTGATAGTTTAATGAATTACATATCAGCTAGACAAAATATAGTATCTAGAAATAAAGTACTTTGTTACAGGAAATTAAAAGTCAATTATATTAACTGACCCTATATCCTTAAACCACAAAAAAAATGTAAACTATCACAAATCAATGATATTCTTTTACTTTGTCCTTAAGCCAAAGATAGACACTTGCAAGAAAAATACAACTACCAAGGAATCTCTTGGGATTTTAAAAAATGTTTCTGTAAAGAAGCACAGCTATTAAACAATCTAGTCCATTTTAAATGAACTGAATAGTCAAGGCCACTTCACAAATAATTGCTAAGTACTGTATTACACATAACACATCTGCCTAGATGTTTAAAAAGAATCAAGAAAACTATGCATAGAGATTACAAAATTTCCTAATCTGTTCGTAGAATTCTTACATACACCGAAGTTAGTGATTTAGTGGGAAAATGGATTCCTAAACATGAGCACTGCCAAAAAGAAAGACTAGAAATGCCTCACAATGGTCCCTATGATCCATGAAAAAAGGCAAAAAAGTATTTCTTACAATAAATCGCCCTACTATATAGAACCATATAAAATTGCAAGGATGACATGAATTTTCTCATTCTTTTATGTCAGAATAACTACTCATTCTCAAACATCTAATGAGTTACCTCAGACCTCTAAACACAGTGTAGTTCCATTACAAAAACAGAAATATTAATATTATTATTCCAAAATATTAACACAGGACTCTGCTATCCATAAAGTGTTAATTTCACTTCAATATTAACCAGGACACCAATTGAAATGTCAATTGCATTCACTAACAAAAGTATTTTCAATTTATACCTAAAACCCAATGCAATAGCAATACCACATCTTTGCAAAAAAAAAAAAAAAAAAATCGTTACAATAAGGTATAATTGACATGGTGGACGTAATAGTAAATAGATGGCCATCTTCGAAGAGGTACAATTTCAAACATAATTTAACAAACTTACCAGTAACTAAAATGCATCGGATTGTTGCAGGGCTCACAATAAACTTGCAAAATTCTGTGTACTGCCATACAAAATTTCTCTCCATTCTTGCCTATTTCCAACTCCCCTAGATACAAAGGCAAATATAAAGGATACTTCAGCCCATTCCTATATCTCCTACATACCACTTCCTGTCTAGAACACATCAGTTCATCTGTAGAGGATCTAAATATATACTATAGGATAAACCAAAAAGCAAGTATCTGAGTCAGCCAGAACTAATACAACATAGAACATTCTCTTGAAAAGTATAGCAATACCTGGGAACAGATTTTCAGAGGAGTATTTTACTTCACAGACCAAAAGTATGCTGATTATTATGTCATGATATATAATTGCTAAACTTTTCAACAGACAGTACCATAACACATGTTCTATAAGTAGCAATTCTACTTCAGGAATGGATATGAGTTTGTAATCCTGTATCTTTTTGAGGAAAATGATGCTAATAACCTAGTGGGTGTTTTTTCTTAAAAATAATTACCATCTTGTAATTCTTAATAAGCTTCATTTAAGTTAGAAAATAATATTTATTTCAAGTATCAGATTCTAAAGGGCTAGACCATGGGAAAAAAATGAAAGAAATAGTATAATAATACCTCTTATAAATTAGCATATTTATTATTTCTCCAGAGCTTTTTGGCCTTTATTGATAAAGAATACAACAACAGTCTTGGCCCACAAATACCTGAGAATATTTATTAACTATGTATAAACATAACTAATTTGTTTATAATAAAAATATATATATTTCTATTTCATTAAAATTTAAATATGAATTTTGACTTATTTTACTATAACTTTATCCATTTCAATTTGTATTTAACTTTTTTAATAACTAATGTAGATAACTCATGTAATGTGATCCATAAAGTTTTATTATATTTCAGGTACTTATATTATTTAGAATTCAATATATCATAAAGATACACCTAATTCATAACTAAAATGATTAAAAGTGAATATATAAACCTAAGTTCTGTTCAAAGGTAGCTCTCTGAAGACATAAACTGGCTATTCAATTTGGTCTTTACTGAAAAAACTAAGTACCACAACTAGATTGGCTTTTTAAATAACCATCTTTTTATTAAGAAGACTGGAAATACCTTCCATAAAAGGTAAAGATTCCTCCTAAAATTTAATACGTCCTCCCCTTATAAAAGAATGTTGCAAAGTAATTGATTAAGTAGATTAAGTCCCAAATCAGATTTATAGTATCAATAAGGGGGAAAAAATCTTCGGACATTTTCAAAAGGTTTCATCTTTTAAGCCGACTTTAGGACTGAATTACAGTGAAATATTTTAAAAGATGATTACAATTATGTAAAATATTTAATATTATATTTCTATAGTATTTCTCTCACTACATAACTCCTCCTAAATGAGAGTGATCACAGCAGAAATAATTGATTTCACTGTATGTTAATCAATTCAAGTCCACACCCAAGACAATTTTGCCTCCAAGATAATTTTCGGTGACACAAAAAAAACTCACAGTAAGTTGTAAGAGCTAATTTCCTTCATAGTTCAACATTAGAAGGGGCAAACCCATATGTTTCTAACTCCAGGTACATTTAGCAGTCACTTTTAGACAACGCCCTCATGAAGATGTGATCTCAGAGAATACCAATGCCTACACAGGCAGTGAATGCAAGATGAAATAAGGAAAACTGTGAAATGCAACACAGTAAAATACAAGGACAGATGGATACATAAGATAGTACATGAAATCACTAAGTCTGCCCCTAGCCGTGAAATCTCTTCTCAGTAATTTCTACCTTTTCCTTCATCCTGATAAAAAGGCAAGGCAGCCTTTTAAGTTGAATTGCTACCACTGTCATGGATATTTAAGAGCATTCCTTTGAGGCTCTATTAAAAGTTAGGTTATTACTCATGTCTTCCTTTGTCTTGTCAGAGATTTTTAATTTTATGTTGTATACCGTATCTTATTTCTGACAAATATAGTTTTAAAAAAGTATAAAAAAGTGCTTGAAACATGTCAATTTATCTTCTGAAGAAAACAAAATGTTAAAATTTTCATATGTAAAAAAATTCATTCTAAATCTCTTATATTACTATATATTAGTATACAGTATGTAACAAAATTTATATAGTTTGAGAGCAGAACGCCTTTTTATTATAAGCTCCTTTCATATATTTACTAAAAGCATTCAAAGTAAAAGAAATAACTTTCACAGTCTAATAGTACTGCAGTTTAACCCCAACTAACATGCCGCCCCTTACAGTGCACTAAACGTCATAGTCCCTTTATGAAAATGTCCTGGGCATTTTACAAATGACAGCCACCACTATAGTAAATACGGATAGATGAATGCTTTAGAAATTTAATAATGTAACTTCCTAACCCCTAAGGAGAACTTAAGTTCTAAATTGGAAAGAAAAATTAGAAACAGGTCATAATTACACACGGATGATCTTAACTATTTATGCATACTCTAATGCCCTTCAAGGTCAAAACATGCAACAGCAGGAAAGCCAAATGCCCAGACCTTTATCTTGGTGCTGGCTCCACTTTCACCTAAGCCCCAGCCTATTTAACAGAAACAGGATTAACATACACTAGAAGTGCTGGAATTTGCAAATGCAAGAAAATAAAGATAAACAGCTGACTACACAAAGTTGAAACAATTCTTTAATACTTAGGCTTTACACAGGCCAGGAATTTTCTATTCTTTTAATAGTTAATTTTATTTTTTAAATGGTCATACAATGAAATTTCTTTCTCTCTCTCTTATTTTTTTTTTGTGTGT